CCAGAATTCCTCAGCCAGCTTTGCTGGCTGAGGAATTCTGGGAGTTGAAGTCCACAAGTCTTAAAGTTGCCAAGGTTGGAGACCCCTGCTTTAGATAATTTAAGGCAAGAGTGTTTAAGGCAATTAATTTTCCCAAGGGGCCATATATGAAACTGGGACTGTTGTGGCTACTCCCTGCCCTGGCGGCCCCCACAGGCCAGACAGGAAGAGCCAAAGGCAGCAGAATGCCCATTATGATGTTCCCTCCCTCCATGATTTCATCTCCCTCAGGTTAATAATACTAAATACCTTCAACTATTCTTCCTTCTTCCCTATTATTGGTTGCTGTCTTCTATGTCCAGTTTGTCCTGTAATATTGTACCTAAAACTAGGCATACATGTAATTTGAGCATGACTTCTGCTTTTGACAATCTACTTCTGCTGATGAGTCTCAGACATTACATGCAACTCCCCAAACTTGCCCCCCCCCCCCCGGCCTTTTCTTACAAAGATTCGACCTTCAGAGAGATAATCGCTCTCATTTCATTTCAGAAACATGCTAAACTTCATCATGTCAGGAGCAGGTACTGTACAGACCTGGAATACTCTTTCTGGGTCATGGAGTTCCATTTAATCAAGAAAACAGACAATAGTTTCCTGCCATGGAGAAGTAGAAACTCCAAAAACTAGAACGGAACTCCTGGAAGAGGCACAAGAAAATTAAAAAGGAAAACTACAAGCGTTCTTCCACTTAAAGATGAAAAATCTCTAGGCTTCCTTCTCCTAAATGTCATTAAGTGTGATTTGTAGCTACTACAAATCTGCATACAAATGAATCTGCAAACAGATGGGAGGTTGAACAACTAGCCTTGTGGTGCGACTGGAACAATCTTGAACTAAACACACTCAAAACCGTAGAAATGATGGTAGATTTTAGGAGAAACCCTCCTCTTACAATACTAGACAGCCCAGTATCAACAGTGGAGACCTTCAAGTTTCTAGGTTCTATCATATCTGAAGACTTAAAATGGATACCTAACATCAAAAATGTTATCAAAAAAGCACAACAAAGGATGTTCTTTCTGCGCCAACTCAGGAAGCTCAAACTGCCCAAAAGGAGCTGCTGATCCAGTTCTACAGAGGAATTATTGAGTCTGTCATCTGCACCTCTATAACTGTCTGGTTTGGTTCTGCAACCCAACAGGAAAGACACAGACTGCAGAGGATAATTAGGACTGCAGAAAAAACGATGGCTACCAACCCCACTTCCATCTAGGACCTGTATATATTTACAGACCCTTCACATCCCAGACATGAACTGTTTCAACTCCTACCCTTAAAATGACGCTATAGAGCCCGGCACACCAGAACTAGACATAAGGGGAGATTTTTCCCACATGCTGTCACTCTACTAAACAAATAATTCCCACAACACTGTCAAACTATTTACCAAGACTGTATTACCAATATTCTTGTCATCCTTCCTATTACCTATCTCATGACTATAACTTTGTTGCTTGTATCTTTACGATTCATTTTGTTTCATTTAGTTTCCTAGCATGATTTTTATTGCTTATTTAGTAACCTATGACTATCACGAAGTGTTTTATCTTATGATTCATGAGGAATGTGTTTATGATTACTATGATCATGATTTATCATTTATATCTTTTATGTACACTGAGAGCTTATAAACCAAAGACAAATTCGTAGTGTATTTAATCACACTTGGCCAGTAAAGAATTCTATTCTACAAGGATACTCTATGCTGCCTTGGCAGTACAGATAGCCACATCCAAAACCTGCCTGGATCCTTTGGGGCATTTTCAACATTCAAACAGGCTTCCCAACCTGGGCTTTAGCTTCCAGAAATTCTCTCTACTGGCCATTCTGATAGCCAGGAATTCTGGAAGTTGAAGGTTCCGGAAGGCTGCCCCATTCAGAGATTGGCAAATCAGCCAAACCTCCTGCCAGATGGCACAAAAGGGCCACCCCTTCTGTCAGTTTGCCACTTCTACCTCTAGCTGGCCAGATGTTCCAGCAACCTCACAAAGCCCAGAAAAGGATGGCCTCGAGCCTTTTGGGTGATGCAGCTCCCCTTCTGGATTTCACAGCGGCCTGGAGTTCAAAGGGGCCATTTGGACCAGGGGTCTCCAACCTTGGCCTCTTTAAGACTTGGGGCCTTCAACTCTGGGAGACCCTTGATTTGGACCACTCAGCTCCAAACTTGCTGTTTTAACTTTAGGCAGCTCCTCTTTGCTCAACTAGTGAAAAGTAACCGAAGCCCCAAACTAGCCTTGTGACAGTGACAAAGAACCCCAGCAAAACCCTATTTCTGGCCTAGTGACTCCTGTGGGGGGGGGGGGGAGCCCTCCTCTTCTTTCCCCCTGGAACCCCCAATCCCGCCAGCTCCACCTGAGGGGGTTCTTTCCTCCGTCAGAAGGGATAAACTGAGCCACTTGGGTCCTTATGTGTCCAATCACACTTGGCCAATAAAGTGTTGTGTTCTGTTGGGGTGGGCTGCAAAGGCCCCCTTCTCATCTCATGGGTGCTTGGGAAAGAATCTGGCCCAGAGCAGAAGAAACAAAATGTCGGGACCGGCACAGAGGAAAACATAAACTAAGCTCAGCGTGTTTGGCCAAGAGAGCGACTGGATGGTCTTTACCTGGCCCGTTTAAAGCGGGCCGGGGGAGGGGAAGAGTCCTCTCCCCCCCTTCAAGTGAGGAAAGCCGGGGCCATTCGGTAGCTGAGAGGCGGCGAAGGGGGAGCCGAGCTTGGGCTCGGCGTCTGGCCGGCCGTGGAAAGCCGTCAGGCGGCCTCCTTGGCTGGGCGACCCCACCGCCACAATCTGAGGGACTCTTGCGGGGAGGCCTGCCCGAGGAGGAGAAGAAGGGGGCCGAAGCGCCCCGGGTTCCTCCCTGCGGAGCCCGCACTCACCGAAGTACTCCTTCCGCACGTGCAGCTCCAGCTCCTTCTCCAGCTCCAGCGTCAGCGCCTCCAGCCGCCGCTCCACCTGGCTGGGCCCGCTCTCCCGGGCCGGCGTCACCTGGCAGGGGAGGCGCAGCTTGGCGGCCTCGGCGTCAGCCGGCGGGCCCTCCTCGGGAAGCAGCGAGGCCCGCGGCGAGGGAACCGGCAGCTCCGGGGAGGCGCCCATCGAGCCGCGGGAGCTGCGCGAGCTGTGGCTGGAGAGGCTGGAGCGCGGGCTGGCCAGGGAGGAGGCGGCGCCGGCCAAGCTCGACGGCGCCAGGGGCCGGGCGGCGGCGGCGGCCTCCAGCTCGGCAGAGGAGCGCGGGCTGGCGTGCCGCTGGTCGTAGCCCATGCTGATGCCGCTGGTGCGGGCGCTGCTGGGCTTGCTGCCGTCGGAGGAGCCGGCCAGGCTGGCGCGCGGGCTGGAGGGCTTGCTGGCGTCGCTGGCCGTGCTGGCGTAGCTGGAGCGCGGGCTGAGCGGAGCCTCGCCGGCCGACAGGCTTCCGCGCGGGCTGGCCAGGGGGCCGCCGCAGCCGCTCCCCGGCCCGCAGCACGTCGAGGCCCGCGGACTGGCCCCTTGTCCGGCCGCCTTGCCGCGCGGGAAGCCCTCGGCCGAGTAGCGCTTGTAGCAGGGCAGCGCCACCTCGGAGCGCGGGCCCTCCTCACCGGCCGGGGCGCGCGGCGGGCAGGCGGGCTCCCCCGACGGGTAGGGCGGCGGGGCCCCGTTCGGCGGCTGCTCCCGACGCCGACGCCGCCCGACGGCTTCCTGGGGCAGCAGCGCCGGCTCCGCCATGGGCTCGCCTGGCTCCACGCGCTCCGGCCGGCTGCTCAGCGCCGCGGGCACCCCGCGTCTCGCCGCCAGAAGCCCCCGCCAGGCATCCCGGCCTCGCCCGGCCACGCGCGGGGGGAGGCGCCGCGGGAAGGTCCGCCTCGCGTCCGGCCGCTTCCACTCGCTGCCCCGGCGCTGCGCTGCCCGGCCCGGCGCTCTCTGGACGGCGCCCTCCTTTGTGCAGGCGGCGGCGGCGGCGGCGGAGGAACTTCTTTGTGTGGGGCAGGAATGCGCGGAGGAGCCCGACGGCGCTGCGTCCCTCTGGAATGCGCTTCGCTCGGGAGCCAGACAATGGCTCGAACCGGGCGGGGGCGGGGCGAGGGAGCCGCCCCCCTCCGCCCCCTCCTGCCTTTCTCCGCCGGCGGAGGGGGGGGGGGGCGACCCCCCCTCTTGGCCCCCCTGCGGCTTCCCCCCCCCCCCCCCGCCAATGGCCCGCCTTGGATCTTGGGACTCTGGCCCGACGGCACGTGGGAACGTCGCGCTGCGGGCCCCGGCCTGGGCTTGTGCCAGCTCAGACCTTGTTTTATAGAAGGGAGTCCCCAACCTTGGCCCCTTTAAGACTTGTGGACTTCAACTCCCAGGATTCTCCAGCCGGATTGCTGCGAGGGGAATTCTGGGAGTTGAAGTCCGGAGTGGCTGAGGGGGTGAAAATGGCTGCTATCCAGTCTTCTGGGGTCTTCTTGGGATACCTCAGTGGGCAGCCCTGGGGAGGCAGCCCTTCTATTCTTCCCAGGAAGGAAGGAAGGAAGGAGTGTTTTTGACCAGAGGTTTCCAAACTTGGCCCACTTTAACACTTGTGGACTTCAACTCCCAGCGAGGGGAATTCTAGGAGTTGAAGTCCACAAGTCTTAAAGTTGCCAAGTTTGAAGACCTCAGCTTTACAGGTCTGGGAGGACCAAAGGCTGGAAGTCCAAGCCCAAGGAACTCCTTTGGGGCCCCCTCAATGGAATAATTCACCCCAAAAGGGGACCAGCTGAGAGGTTCCCGTGACCCTCCTCTGGGGTGAAGTGGATGGCAGTTTCCCCTCTGCCCAGAGGAGAGACCCCCAGCCCGGTTTCCGCACCTGAGTGGAGGAAGGCAAACTTTCCTGTTCGCTGCCTTGTCCCTATCGGGAACATTGACCTCCTTCAGCAGCCAAGAAAAAGCAGAAAGTTCTTTCTCCGTCCCATGTAATATATTATGTGGGTATTATATGCATTAATTTTGTATTTATTTTGTCATCTTGATGTAGTGTATATTGGAGGTGGAGACCCTCTGAGAGCTGTAGACCACAAAATTTCCCTTTTAATGTGTTCCGATTAGTGTGCATTCAAAGTGACAATAAAGTTAGTCTAAGTCAAGGGTCCCCAACCTTGGCCCACTTTAAGCCTGGAGGACTTCAACTCCCAGAAGTCCCCAGCCAGCAAAGCTTGTGGACATCAACTCCCAGAATTGAAGAGAACTAAATTAAAATGGAGAGATTGCAGAGGAAGGGATCACAAGAAATTAAGCAAAGCTGGCTGGGGAATTCTGGGAGTTGAAGTCCTCCAGGCTTAAAGTGGTCAAGGTTGGAGACCTCTGTTCTAAAGCGTTCAGACCAGGAAAAGGAGCCAGCCTCACCTCGGGCGCTTTTCTCACCTGGAAGCCAGCTTGTGAGCACAGGTGGCCCAAGGATAGGCCGGAGGAAGACCCTGAGGACCAGCCCTGGAGTGGGGGAGGGGGGGGTGACCTCTTACCCTAAACCCTACAAGGAGCTTGCCGCAGCAGCTCTCGGAAGGCTCCCGTCCCCGAGCAAGAGGAACAAGCAAGCAGAGCTGGTGCAGCTTTCCCATAACAAGTGACCTGTCTGGGAGCCATTTCGGTCCAGGTGTGTGTGTGTGTGTTCTGCATCATCCTTACCTTGGATTAAAAGGAAATGCAGATTGCTACAGGAGCTCTGGAACTCCAAGACCCTCATCAATCCCCTAATCCAGAGGTGGGATTCTGGAGGACTAGTAGTGGACATTTTGCATAGTTTGGAGAACTGGGCAATACCACCTCTGATTGGCCCCACCAACCCCATCTCTTCTCTGCCTCCCATCGAGTCCCAGATGATCGGCTGGGTGTCCTTTGATTGCCCTGCACAGAACGGAGCTGGAAAGCAGGTTAGTGGTGTTAGAAATAAGAAAATTCAAAAATAAAATGTGGGTGAAGAGAATAATATAGTATAGCATTAAGAAGACAGTTGATGTAATCCTTCTGCAGATATATTTTCTAGTACATTTACTCATTGTTAAACATGTACCTGCAAGCAATTGCATCCTCCTGTATCAAGTAATGCCACCCCTTTTTCCTCCGGGATTAGGAGGACAATAGAAGAGAGAAACCATTGCCCTAACTTTCTTTAATCAATTGAAGCTAGATTTTGTTTTTCAAAGCATCAGCTTAAGTTTACCAGACTTTACTTTGCATAGATGGTTGTTCTACGAAGAAGTGCTGAGTGTAACATTAATATGTAACAAGTGTGGTATTAGGAATAGATATTTCTTTGTTCTCAGACCGTTGGAAAAGAGGCCCCGCTGAACGGACATTCCTTAAAGCCAAGTAAGATAAGATGTGATGGGAGGTCATTGGGAGGTATTGAAGGAGATGATGTGGTCTCCATAAGGCGTTTCGGATTAGCTGTGCTCGGTCCCTGGGTCGATGTAGGAGGGGCGTCGGGATAGAAAAACTATAAAATGTCATGTATTGAAATCTTAAGGTGTGGTTCTTGGCTCATACTTCGTGTTGAGGTCAGCTGAGATCCTACCGCTCTTTGCAAATTCCTTAAAAATAAAATCTCTGTTTTCACCGATCCAAGTTTTTGTTATTTGGATTCATTTCCAACAGTGGGGTGGGGAGGGAATGGGGATTTTGCAGTACCCTTCCCCTGCCATGCCCACCAAGCCACGCCCACCAAGCCACGCCCCCACGGAACCGGTAGTAAAAAAGTTTGAATCCCACCACTGCCCTAATCCCCAAGCCTGTTGCATCAAGAAAGGCTGTGGAAAATGCTCTCCCTGTAACTCTGGCTCCAGTCAGTTGTGCTTTGGGGACAGAAGAGCTCGAAGGTGGACAATGCAGGCTGCCCCTGAAATGCCAAGCCCTTCTAGCCGCTGCTTTGAGTTGCCTCTCCTCGGATGTAGCAGGAAGGACACATGTGAGATGCCAAGGCAAAGAACCAGCTGCAGCAGCCAGAGAGCAGGGCAGGATTTACCAATTTCTCCAGAAATCCTCCAGGGGGCGACAGGATCCGGGAGGGCCCAAGGGGCGTGGCCCCATAGCAGGGCCTGTTGAATGGGAGCTGAAGCACTTGCAGCGGTTGGATTTTATCTTTCAGCTCTTTCCTTTTTCTCACTTGTTTGTCTTTTATCAGGGCCCTAATAACCTTTTCTAGGTGGGTGACTTAGAACGCAAAACCACCTCTCTTCTCTTTCATTGCTATGCTAAACTGGATCTGTTGTTTGAGTCCGTCCCAACTCTGGAAACTGCCTGGAAAATCCCGAGTTTTCTTGGCAAGGTTTTTGGCGGCCGTTTGCCATTGCCTCCTTCCTGGCTTTGTATCCACAGTGGGACTAGAACTCACGACCGGCGGTTTCTAGCATGGTGCCTTCACAACCATACCAAACTGATTCTTTATGTTTACGTTGTTGTCATCCAGAAAGGTCAGTATTCCAAGTCATTAGTTTATACAGAACCATTGTGGTCAGGCTGAAGTCCTACCATGTCTCCCCATGCCTCCCCCACAACTCAACCCAATCCAATCTAATTATGGATTACTTGACTTTGGTTTAAAGAACTATGTACAGCTATTCTTATAATTTGTAAAACAGTTAATGGTTTAAGGCAGTGGTGGGATTCAATTTTTTTTACTACCGGTTTTGTGGGTGTGGCTTGGTGGGCATGGCAGGGGAATGATACTGTAAAATCCCCCTTCCCTCCCCACCCCACTAACCTGCTTTCCAGCTCCGTTCTCCTGTGCAGGGCAACCAAATAAGGCCCAGCCGATCAGCTGGGACTCAATGGGGAGGCAGAGATGGGGTTGGCGGGGCCAGTCAGAGGTGGGATTGGCCGGTTCTCTGAACTACTCAAAATTTCTGCTACCGGTTCTCCAGCACTGGTCAGAACCTGCTGAATACCACCACTGGTTTAAGGCGATGTGATTTTACCCTAATCTTAACCCTATCTGTAAAAATTTACTCAGCAAACTATAATTAAACAGTCCAAAGTTTAATGGAACTTGCAAAGCAAAACATAGGCCAAATAATGCATCATGCCTGGATTAAATCACTCTATAATAGCTTTCTTGAAAAAACTATGAAACTGGATGCACCGAGCGTTGTGCTAGGTTTGATGCTTTGATGAGGAGGGAAAAATGATTATCATTGCATTCAGAAGGCAACATTGGAAGGAACATAGTACTCTGACTCTGTGGTTTCTTCCCCAAACCCCAAAAACTTTAACCTTAGACTGTCCACTATTGACCTCACCCCTTTCCTATGAGGTCTGCAGGGGGCGTGCATAAGCGCACCAACGTGCTTACCGTCCCTGTCCTATTGTTTCTTTTATTTTTCTTATATGTACCCATTTCATGTATTCATAACTATGTTTATACTTATACCTATTATCTTGTAAGCGATTGACAAATCAAATAAATAAAAATAAATATTCTGGAAGATAGAAAGAAAGCCATCTTCTGGTTAAACAAATCAATATAAAATATCAGAATTAAATTTAACAGAGACAGATGGAATTTTTTTCACATAGGAAAATGACACAAAATGTGTGGCTATAAAATACATCACATAGTACAGGGGTCTTCAAAGTTGACCGCTTTAAGACTTGTGGACTTCAACTCTCAGAATTCCTCCTCCAGTCATGTTAGCTCAGGAATTCTGGGAGTTGAAGTCCACAAGCCTTAAACTTGCCAAGTTTGACGACCCTTGACATAGCACATGTGAAAAGGATGTACCTGATCATCAGCTAAGGATATTTGAAGTACTGGACCGGTCCAGTTCTAAGAAAAAGCCAGGACATGATAATTTTGTAATGCCCAAAAGGAGTACGAGACCCCTCCTCCTAGGATAATGTGCTCTGTTTTACTTCTTAAGCTGCTCAGATTTATCTTTTCAATAAATATACAAAACAGATTTAATTACAGGATTTGAAACCTTATTTTGCAAGTTAGAAAAATCTGTATAACAGGACTATGGTGGGCAGACATCACTGGATATATTCAAACCTTTGG